CTTCCTTCCGAGGAGTGGCTGGTGGGTTTGAACCGCCAGCCTTCTGGTTAGCAGTCAAGTGCCTTAGCCACTATGCTACCAGAGCTCCCTTGCATTAAAGTAGTAAAGTAAATTACTTTGGTGCTGTATTAATTAAACCCATGGTAAAGAGATCACATTTTTGAAAGGTTCTTCAGATGTGTATCAGCGGAAAATGTTTTAAAGAGAATGATGAAATACAGATTGCTGTTCTCTTTTTTTAGATTTTCAGTATATTTAAGCTTAATTTTCCCTACTACTTACTGCTAAGAGAAAAGTAGGAATTCTTAACAGAATTTATTATTTTTTAGTTTGTTTTTATACCAAAGAGTTTTCCTAGGAGTTTGCATTTACTGATGTAGCACTTAACGGCCTATCAGCAAAACCGGCATGACTGAAATAGTGCTATCTGACTTGTGGAAATTGACTTTTTTTTTTTATAGTTTTCATGTATGAGTAGATGTACAATTTCCAGTGTGCAGTCTTACAGAATACAGTTTTGTTCCTAATGAGACTGATCCCTTCTATGAAACTTTGTTACCAAAGAACGAAGAGGCCCCAGACTCAGTGACTTGAAGCCCCTTAGCACAGAGTTCGAGAATAGGCATGACAGTGAGATGTCAGGGGCATTAGTTCTCTTTTTGTTTTTGGCCTTCGTGGCATGTTTCTCACTTTCATGACTTTTGAAGCTGCAAGAGAAATAAAGAGTAACTATACGTCTCTTACTGTCTACCTCCAGTCCTCCTTTTTCTGTAGTCTGATGAGAAAAGTAGTAGTAAGCAGGAACAAGCAGGAAAGAGAAATGGTTTATTTTTTTTCTCAGTGCTTATAGTGCCTAAGGCATTTGACTGCTAACCAGAAGGTGGGTGGTTCAAATCCACCAGCCGCTCCATGGAAGGAAGACTGGGCCAAATCTACTTGTGTTAAGATTTACTGCCTTGAGAACCCAGTGAGGGTCGCTGCAAGTTAGAATCAACTCGATGGCAGTGAGTTTGGTTTGGCTGTAGTATAGTGTATAGGTGGAAATGATTGTGTGTGAATCGTGTATCATAATAAGATTACACTCCATGGTCTGTTCACAAAATATCTCAGCATTAGGGAAACCACCTAAAAGGAATATAGTTAAGATTCTCAGAGTGTTTAACTAGCCTTTCTCCATTGCTCATCCAAAAAAAAAAAAAAACAATAAAAACTCACTGCTGCTGAGTCGGATCCGTCTCATAGCGATCCCTCCTTGGGTTTCTGGGGCAGTAGAGGGAGCTCTGGTAGTATAGTGGCTAAGGCACTTGACTGCTGGCCAGAAGGCTGGTGGTTCAAACCCACCAGCCACTCCTCGGAAACTGCCTCGGAAACCCAAGGAGGGGTCGCTATGAGTCGGGTCCGACTCAATGGCAAACAACAACAACAACAACAACAATCACTACAGAAGTAGATTCCCCAGTCTTCCTTCCGAGGACTGGTTGGTGGGTTTGAACCACCAGCCTTCTAGTTAACAGTCAAATGCCTTAGGCACTATACCACCAGAGCTCTTAGACACTGCTAAAAAACATACGCTGACATTTCTATTAATTTCATACTGACTCTCAAATCATACTCATTCTTGCTTATTATACTTAATCATTTTAGTTTTAAAATACTTACGCTTCTTTGTACTTACTGATTGTTCCATAAATAATTTGTGTAAAATAAGGTAAACATAATTTTAAATTAAATTTTATTATAAACTAAAATTCTTCCATGACCTAAGCAGTTGCTATTTAACCACATTTGTATTTATTTGCTATGTTTTCTCAGTGCTTATAGTGCCTAAGGCATTTGACTGCTAACCAGAAGGTGGGTGGTTCAAATCCACCACTGGAAGACTGGGCCAAATCTACTTGTGTTAAGATTTACTGCCTTGAAAACCCAGAAATTCAAGTCCTGAAAAAAATATCAGGCCTTTTTTTTTTTTTTTTTTTTTCACCCTTGGGGTTGTCAGCCTCAGCAGCCAGCAGCTGACTGAGTGAAGAAAGGCCTTTTTTTTTTTTTTTTTTTTTTTAAGTGGAAAAATATGAGACTGATGAAGATTTTTGCTTCCTACCTTAAATAGGTACCAAGGATCTTGAACAATTTTTATAGATGAAAAGGCTGATTGATAATTTGCTGATGCTGTGTTTATCTTATTCTCTTGAAGGATAAAATTAGACCTCTGGCCTACCCTTCAAAGATGGAATAGTATTTCACATGGGTTAAATAGCTTTCAAGTGATAGCAAAGCCAGAAAGGATAGTTCCTCCCTACAGCAGTAGTAAAGAGAATTAGTCTTAGCAGTTAGTAACCTGAGCCATATTTGAAAGCTAATGTATATACTGTTTCGTTTGTGTTTTCTTAGTGTACTTGCTTTTGGCATATTAACTTTTAGTTGAATGCCAGACATGTTCATGAATTATTTGATGCTCCATAACTCTTCATTTAGATAACTTTCTAGTGACAGCATCTTCCAGTGGAGACAAAATAGTTGTTTCAAGTTGCAGGTGTAAACCTGTTCCACTTTTAGAGCTTGCTGAAGGGGTAAGTGTAACTGATTTTGTTTTTAACCTTCTAAAATCTTAGTTCTGCTTAAGTGGTAATTGCTGATGTATTGTGGTGTTAAGATAAAGGTACAGGTGTTTGAAAGCATCGTTCTTAAGCCAAGCTCAAAGTAATATAGCACTTGGAAGATGCTTCTTTGTGTGATATGTTTAGGTAAATTAATGGATTCTGGGGCGAAGGAGCATGCAAGGATGTGGATTTCCCTAACCAGGCCCTTTCCCTGTTTTTCTTCCCTGGGAGGACCCTATTATTGCTACCTTTTTCAGGACCACTCAAGTAACTTGTTTGGAGGTAGGGGAGCCTATGTGTTCTTCCTAGGTTGTTCATGACACTACCTTTATGACCTTGGGCACTTTGAACCATCAGTAAAAGGCTACATCTGATGGTAGCCCTATGCCTTAGCTTTTGTCTACCTGGTACTGAGGGCCCCACCTGAACCTCCCCCAAGCTCTCCTTGGACAGATGGCTTTCTCAAAATGAACTTTGGTCCCAGAACATTTAAATGAAGCTCTCATTGCATATTGTTACCTTATCCTTCATTTTATAAAATAATTCCTCTGATTCAGGAAAATACCAGCTTCCTCATTTCTAAGCACATCCTCCTCACCTCCCCCAACAAATAACCTGAAGTCTAAATGAAAGGTACAAGAACTTGCTCTTTTTTTAGTTTCACAGTTTGCATAGCAGATCCTAAATCATTAAATTGTCATAATTTTATGCACTGGGGAAGGTAAGAAAGTCCAATTAGAAAGAAAATAGTAGGACAATAGGATATAAGCTTATGTAATTTAAAGAGAGCTCTGGTGGCGTAGTGCCTGAGGTACTTGACTGCTAACCAGAAGGCTGATGGTTCAAACCCACCAGCTACTCCTCGGAAGGAAGATGGAGCAATCTACTTCCGTAGTGATACTACTGCCTTGGAAACCCAAGGAGGGGTCGCTATGATCAAAATTGACTCAATGGCAGTGAGTTTATTTTTGTTTTTTGTTCTGGTGGCACTATGATTAAAGCGTTGAGCTGCTAACCAAACGGTTGGCTGTTCAAATCCACCAGCCACTCCATGGGAGAAAGATGAGACAGTGCTTCCATAAAGATATACCACCTTGGAATCCCTATGGGGCAGTTCTATTCTGTCCTATGTGGTCTCTATGAGTCAGAGTCAACTCAATGGCTGTGGGTTTGGTTTCTTTTTTTTTTAATTTAAAGGAGACTTATGGTTTCTATCAACCCTCTCCTAAAGGTAACTGATGGATATAGGAGGCTTTAGCAGAGAAAATGTCTGCTGAGGGTAGTAATGGAATGAACCACTTTGGCTGTTTAAGATGTGTTAGATAAAGTTGAAGCAGAGATTATCTCTGGCCCACAAAAGGCAGACTGCACTCTTCATGAGCCGGACAAAGATCTTAGTCATATTTGAGTCTTCAGATCTTGTCAAAGATAGTCAACAAACCCTTGCTGAAGTAAAGGTCAACACTAGAACAGTTTTGATTTACATATACACATGTTGTTGTTGTTGTTGTTCTGTGCCGTTGAGTTGGACCTGACTCACAGTGACCCCTCCTTGGGTTTCCAAGATGGTATTGCTATGGAAATAGATTTCCCAACCTTTCTTCTGAGGAGTGGCTGGTGGGTTTGAACCGCCAGCCTTCTGTGTAGCAGTCCAGTGCCTTAGGCACTATGCTACCAGAGCTCACACATATACACATATACAAACATAATTATATTTTTATATAAATATATATATGTGTGTGTGTGTACACATATGGAGCTCTGGTGGCACAATGCACAGTACCTAAGCCATCTGACTGCTAACCAGAAACTTGGTGGTTCAAACCTACCAGCTCTTCTGTGGAAACAAGACTGGGCAATCTACTTCCATTGCCACGTATATGTGTATCTATTCATGTACACATATATATGGCAGTGGTGGTACAGTGGTG